CATGGCAGCAGTTCCCTATTGAATATCATAATTTATCGAACACTTTTCACCCCCACAAAAACCCATGAAATACGTTAAAGATTATATCTATATTGTCTTCTAAAAACTTATGATTACTCAATAATTATTTACCGGATTCAAGCTGATAAGAAACCTATAATTTTAGAACCGTGTTTTCATATTTGAGCTCATAAACCAAGAAACTAGTTGTCTTATGAACACTCATTGGACACATTTCAGATTAGGCATTCATTGTCTAATTGAAACTCGTAAATTCTCAGTTATTCTGAGTCACATGAATGCTAATAGAAATCGCATTAAATTAGATAAGGAATTCCTTAGTGAAACTCTAAAATCCTGATATATTTTTTTCCTGACGATACCCAATAGAATTATATTTGTAAATTCCTACACATTTCTCATATATACTAAGGCGCATGAATGTGCATAGAATACTTTTCCAATTGGAAGTGGAATATCTTATTGGTGGTCATAGGCTCCTCAAACCACTTGTGCCTGATAAAAACTCTCATACTCCATATTTGTATACGCTTATAAATCACATATACTTATGAAATATCATCAAACCTTTTAGAAAGTTCATGTGCCAGAGATAATGTACTCATACGCTACAGAACTCGGTTATACAAGGTGTTTCTAAAATAGGTGGTCAAACTTTGGGAGCATATAGAGTGGGTGAAATAGTTACGAAAACCTCCGTAACATTTTTTTCTGAAGTGACCCCCAAGAAAGATACAGCCCCTCAAATGGGGGCCTCAGTGAATGATTTTGAATTAGTATCTCCAACACCTTGTGTAATGAAAATCTGAAATTTTGTCCATCCACTTACTATTCAGTGCCGGTTCGAATGAAGTTAAAATCACCTCAAAATTAAATACAGGGGTGTGTCAAAATAAGGAGGTAGGGGGTAAAAATAACCCCAACTTTTTTGTTCATCACAATTTCAGTTTTTTTACATGAAATTATGAAATCTCAGGGCTATTAACATAGAAAAGGAGCTCTTGTTGAATCTCGATAAAATGAACCATTAGCGAATAAAATTTATTTTTCCAAGATTTCATTTAAATTGCAATTTTGGTGTGCGCTCAAGTTCAATTATCTAGTTCAAATCTCGCAACTGAATTTTTACCTATTTCTGATCGTCTGATCAACTCAGAATCTGGCAGATGACAGTTGACAATGCGTTATGGCGGCTCCAATGTGGCTGACCAGATTTGTGATTATGGTTCGATTCGATTCAAAATTGGTATGTGAGGGTTTTTGGGGTTGGAAATTTAGAATTCGTTGTCGGAATTCGTGAAATCCAAATTGCCGACGAGTTTTGTTATTATGGACTGATCCTATTAAAAATAGAATAAAAAATATTGATGAAAACAAGCTTTCATTACTTTAACTATTGAAATAAAAAATTAAAGATGAAATAAGGTGAAAAAAGACAAGCCTTTTTTCAAATGCTCTGAAAATGACGAGAAAAATGCTTTTGATATCTCACGTAAGTTATTCTGTGAGTAAGGTATTCGATAGCTTACATATCTGAAGAAATCTTCTTCCACTTCCTGAAGCATCTGGATAGAAACATTATTGTCACTGATTTTTTTACCTTATTTTATTACATTTCAGTTCAACATAACCCCAACGAAATGAAACGTAGAATTTAACCCTGAGTTAGAGAGCGTTAGAGAGCACAGCAGGAATATGACAGAGATGATTAAGTTTTCCATAAGATTCAAGCTCTATGACGATGAAATAGCGAGTGAAATAGTGAGTGATCCGCAACATTACTTCAGCGTTGTAAGAATTCTCTAATGACGTGATGCTCAATCATCATTTCACTCCTCAAAGTGTCCTCCATTCATTTTTATGCTTTGATACAGTCTTTGTTCACGACATAATTCCATAATTTCAGTCGTTTGACATGAAATTATGAAATTTCAGGGCTATTTACATAAAAATGGTATGCTCTCGTTGAATGTCGATAAAATGAACCATTTCCGAATAAAATTGATTTTCACATTTCAATTCTCCGATGAGAAGTAAAAATATGGGAACAGAGAATACAAATAGAACCACTAGATTATCAGTTGACATTTTATTGTCAGTTTTGAGAATTGTCAAAATCAGTTGGAATTTCGTTAGCATTGTTTTCAAATCGTCAAACATGCCAAACTATACATTTTCTGAGTACGTAGATATGCTATTAACATTGGGCGAATGTCATGGAAGTGCACGGGCTGCAGTGAGGCGGTACAATGAGAAATATCCGCGAAGAAATCTACCAGATTACAAAACTTTCCTGTCTACTGAACGACGTTTACGTGAATGTGGGAGTTTGAAACCCAGAACTTCTGACAGAGGAAGACGAAGGACTATGAGAACAGTCGCGAATGAGGAAAATATTCTGAATATTATTGAAGATAACCCCTCATCAAGTACCAGGCGTTTGTCATTACAAACGAATATGTCACATTCGGTTGTTTGGAGAATACTAAAAGAACAACAATTGCATCCCTACCATTACCGACAAGTCCAGGATATTTTGCCAGGAGATAGGCCCCTACGAATGGAATTTTGTAATTGGCTTCTGAATCGGCGTGAACAAAACCCCACGTTTCTTTCTGAAATCATTTTCAGTGATGAGGCTACTTTCACCAGAAGCGGAGTGTTTAACATGAACAACGAACATGTTTGGGCCGATGAGAATCCCCATGCCAAAAAAGTTACTCATTATCAACATTCTTTTAAAATTAATGTTTGGGCAGCAACACTTGGGAATGAGCTTTTAGGCTATCACATTCTCCCAGGTAATTTAACCGGTGAAATGTACCATGAGTTTTTATCCACCCAACTGTTTGACCTTTTGGAAGAAATTCCTCTAGCGAGATGGCATGTTCTTTGGTACATGCACGATGGGGCCCCACCCCATTTCAGTCGACAGTGTCGATTATGGCTCTCCGAGAATTTCACGAATCGATGGATAGGTCGAGGTCATGATGCTCCTGTGAATTGGCCCCCGAGGTCACCAGATCTCAATCCTATGGACTTCACTGTTTGGGGACAAATGAAAGAAAAAGTATATTCCCGGTCGATTGATTCTATCGAAGAACTGCAGCAGAGAATTGAAAACGCTTTCACTGAAATAATTCATGAGGGAAGGCTTAACCGCATATTATTTTCTCTTGAAAAAAGACTGCGTCAGTGCATAGAAGTAAATGGAGGACACTTTGAGGAGTGAAATGATAATTAAGCATCAAGTCATTAGAGAATTCTTATTACGCTGAAGAAATGTTGCGGATCTCTCACTATTTCATCGTGATACAACTTGCCTCTCTCCAGAATCTTACTAATCGAAAACTTCATCATCCCTCTCTTACATTCCTGCTATGCTCTCTAACTCAGTGTTAAATTCTACGTTCCATTTCGTTGGAGTTATGTTGTATGAAAATGTAATAAAATAAGGTAGAAAAAAAATCAGTGATAATAATGCTTCCATTCAAATGCTCCAGGAAGTGGAAGAAGATATCTAGAAGCATTTTTTTCTCATTTTTAGAGCATTCACCTTATTTCATCTTCGATTTTGTATTTCAATAGTTGAATTAATAAAAGCTTGTTTTTTACAATATTTTTTATTTTATTTTCAATAGGATCATCCATAATCACGAAAATCGTCGTCTATTTTTAATTCATGAATTCCGACAACGAATTCAAAATTTCCAACCCCAAAAACCCTTACAAACCAATTTTGAATCGGATCGGACCATAATCACTAATCTGGTCAGCCACATTGGAGCCGCCATATTTTTTTCTATCAAAAAGTCCATAACGCGTTATCAACTGTCATCTGCCAGATTCCAAGTTGATCAGACGATTAGAAGTAGATAAAAATTCAGTTGCAAGATTTGAACTAGATAATTAAACGTGAGTGCACACCAAAATTGCAATTTAAATGAAATCTTGGAAAAATAAATTTTATTCGCTAATGGTTCATTTTATCGAGATCCAACAAGAGCTCCTTTTCTATGTTGATAGCTCTGAGATTTCATAATTTCATGTAAAAAAACTGAAATTGTGATGAACAAAAAAGTTGGGGTTATTTTTACCCCCTACCTCCTTATTTTGACACACCCCTGTATTTAATTTTGAGGTGATTTTAACTTCATTCGAACCGGCACTGAATAGTAAGTGGATGGACAAAATTTCAGATTTTCATTACACAAGGTGTTGGAGATACTAATTCAAAATCATTCACTGAGGCCCCCCTTTGAGGGGCTGTATCTTTCTTGGGGGTCACTTCAGAAAAAAATGTTACGGAGGTTTTCGTAACTATTTCACCCACTCTATATGCTCCCAAAGTTTGACCACCTATTTTAGAAACACCTTGTATATCCTTATTGATACTCATATTTTATCTATATTTCTTCATGAGACTTCATAAGGTATTTTTGGCAGGGTAATAAAACTCTGGATTGTATGTTGACATTTCCACAAATCAAACGTTAAAGATACATGGGATGCACTTCTTAACATGCTTTTTATCACTGTCTGTAAACGGTCATAAATATCGGGAACAATCTTCTCGGTGAAATATTTTCTTCCCGGTATCGTATAGTGAGGAGCAAGTTGAGACACTAACCTTTGAAATCCTGTAGGTATTTGTGACAATAGAATATGTTGAATTATCCAGAGCTATCATTTCGCCTATAGCATAATGAATGGATCTTGCACGCTGGTCCTCAATGCCCCATTTAGAACATGACTGTAGAGCTTCACCAATTGTTGTGGCTGTTTCAATTGTTTCCTTGGAAATTAAATTTTGAACTTTTTGTATTCTTCTGCGTGTTCTTTCAAAGTGGTTTATGATTGATGTTGTACTAGCATTTTTACCAACACCACCTCTGGATATCTCACGATTACAATTATTACACTTTGCGCATTTATTATCAAATATCACTAGTTTTTTTTACATTATTTTGAGATTTGAGCTACTGCTTGCTAACAGCGTGAACGGTAGAAATGAAATGAGAGCATAGACCGGTCTGCAATGTACGAAACAAGTCTGAACAAGAAATTTTCGCCGCTTCGGCAGAATCGGATAAGCTTCGGCCTGAACCGAATATTAGAAAAGTAGACCGAAGCGGCCGAATACCGAAGCCGAATCGATGATTTGGCGAACCCCTGATTATATGTCAAATGTCAGCTTGTGTCAACTTCAAATCCATTACATCTTGCATCTTTCAAATGATTAATAATGTATTATACAACAGTGTACCAATTCACAAATTCGCAAAATATCATTTCCCAAATAATAAAATTATATGTACCTTGATATTAGTACCTGTGCCTTTCTTCTGAATGTTTCTTGAACTAGAGGCATAAAACGTTTCTATACTACTATTTCACCTTCATTATTACCACCCTGTATACATTCCAAATATATAAATGAACTACGTTGAATAAACGTTGCCCAATCACTATGTTATTATGGGAACATTCTGAAGTCCTTCAAAAACTTTAGAGTTTGTTGCCTGGTTAGGTGAATTTTGAACGGTAGATCTATTATTCTCTTTATCCAGTTCATTAGCGATCTGTGTTATTCTCTGGCCACGATTCATTGGCTTTCTACAAGAAGCAATCACATCTCAAGTAATATATCGAAATAAGTACCAATTATTCAATGTTTCGTTCATGATAGTCGAAAAGCTAACCTTCATCAGGATTGAGAACAACAATTCATATCAAACATTTGTAATCACAAGCAGTGGCTGAATGCTCAACTAATTTAGATATTTCCAATTCATTGATGAATTTGAAGAACACGGCAATGAGGCATTATGTTTTCAAAACGGTCGTGAGTGAACCACCGGGTCAAATCAGGTATAAAGACCTAATTGGATCGGAAAACTCACCATATCATGATGAAAAAACACAATTCACTGCACAATTGGTGATTTTGAACTTTGAAATTGAGTCAAATCAAATTGATAATATTAAACGGAACTAGGAGCAACATTACTATGATGACTCTCAAAGCGCCAATATAATATTCTAGCTACTGTTCCGCACGTAAATGTGGCGCGTTGCGTAGAGATACTAAGCTTTAACCACTTACGTACACACTCACTAGATGAAAACCACGTATATCATGCGCTACTAAGAAAGAATTACGTATATTCCTCAATTATGCGTAGTTGTTTCTTAGTAACACTCTTATACGTGGATTCAATCTAGCGAAGAGCATATTTTCGTACAAATAAGTGGACGATGAATTGATCCTGTTGAAATAAGTGGTTTTGATGATTGGAACAGGTTATTTTTGTTATATTATTTCATCAGGAGCCAGAATCTCAGAATACATAAAGTTGTAATATACGCGGATTCTTCTTATGAGGGCAGTATGGACATAAGCAAAATACCAGCCATACTGTATGCTGTAGTAGCATCTGTATTATTCTGAGACCCTACTAGCTCCACAGCCTTCTGGTATGTTACATCCTGGCTCACCGACATTTCTGCTGTTCGAAAATTTCAAAAATTATTTTTCGTTTTTGAGTTATATCGAAAAAAGTGAATTTTTGGACTATCTATTTAATTATTTTTCTTCGTTATCATTAGAGATACAGAAAAACTGGAAATACTTTTTCATAACAACTTTTGATGACGTTTAACTTGGTGATACCGATTTTTTTATGCGACGTTTCGTATCCGTAGAACCATCATCATCTTTTGTTTTTTAAATACGGTCCTGATAATTTTTTCACAGATTCTGAAAGGTTTGTTCATTCTGAATTCAACCATGTATTATACAAGATGATTCGAATGTGTTTCGATCTATTTCTATCCATCATCAATGTTTCTTAGAACTTCCAAAAGGAAAAAAGCCATCAGTTCCACTCATTTCTGATCATTCAATGTCAAACTTGATGGATTAGTTATTCAATACTGAAAAGTAAATAAAAAATATTTCTCTACATCATTCGGTCAATGCAGCGCTTAAAATTGTTGATGAATTCTTACACGAATTACTTTAACAACTTAACTTTGACAATACCTACAGAGACATTCACAACAAATGTTCAAAATGATAACCATCATTTTCTGAACAAAGATATCCTCTTCTCACCGTTGCTTCTAAGACATTGCTGAGCATTTCTGGGGTTATTTTATCGAATGCTTCGAAGACACTGTCCCTTAGTTCTTCTTCATCAACAAAGTTATTTGCGTGTACAAAGTTTGATATATCCCCTAAGGAAAAATACAGCTGTGTCAAATCAGGCGACCGCGCCGGCCAAGGGACTGTAGAATGAGTAACAATCCATTTTTCTGGATAAAAACGCACGGACTTCTCTGGAATTATGTACCGGAGCGCCATCTTGTTGAAACCAACAGTTCTGAACTTCCGCAATCGGTAAATCATCCAGAGCTTCCTCAAGATGATTCTCAAGCAAATTTCTATAACGTTCGGAAGTCTGTGTTTCATAGTAAATAGAAGGACCAAATATTGCAACCCACATATTAAAGCCGAAACGGTGTTGGTGTCTCGCTGTAATGTATAAATGTTCATTTTCTCGTGAACAATAATGTGTATTTTTTTTATCGAAGATACCATGATTAGTGACCATACTTTCATCAGTCCAGATGATTGTTCGAGGGAAATCTGCAAAATTTTGACATTTCCTGGTATACCACTCACAAAATATCCTGCGCCTTTCGTCATCGCCTGGTTTTAGCGCTTGACATATTCTGAATTTGTAGGGATGGAATTTTTGTTTCCGCAAAATGAAATGGGTTGTTGATTGAAACCAGTTGATGAGGTATTAGTGTGTTGATTAATTTTCCTTGAAAATAAGTGGAACTGATGGCGTTTTCCCTTTGGAATTTCGAAAAAACATTGATGATGGCTAAAAGTAGGTCGAAACACACATAAACCACCTTGTATAATACCTAATTGAATTCAGAATAAAAAAACCTCTCAGAATCTGTGAAAAAATTATCACGACCGCATTTGAAAAACAAAATTTGATGATGGTTCCACGAATACGAAACGTCGCATAAAAAAATCGGTATCACCACGTTGAACGTTATCAAAAGTTGCTATGGAGAAGTATTCTCAGTTTTGCTGTATCTCTAATAATAACGGAGAAAAAAAAAATAAAATAGATATTCCAAAAATTCACTTTTTTCGATATAACTCAAAAACTAGAAATAATTTTCAAAATTTCCGAAGGCTCTTGATATGAGCCTCCGAATGCGCAACTTTTTCCCCATTTAAACGACTTCGTATCTCCTACCGTTTCCGAGATCCCCATGCTGTTCAACCTGATCTTGGACAGACTGTATAGTGTGCTTCACACTATCTGGATCAGTATCGAAAAATAAAGATATTTTAGTGCAGAAATCCTCTATGTGTCACAATCTGTAGGAGGGGGTTGCCTAAATTGTGTTCTAGATCCATTAGAGAATGAACTTCAAAAGTGATAATGATAAATGATACTCAGAAGATTTTCAAACAAAACATACACACACATTTATTCTTTGCAATGACTAACAATGAAGTCAAAACTTAACTTACCCTATATATTCACTGATATTCCTGTGAGGAAGGGCATCTTCTGTTCTGCCCTAACTCCGAAGATTCGGGCACAGTGGTAACTTTTTAAACTTACAATAAAACTTGAACGTTCCTGACTCGTACTCAAAAAACAGGACTAGAACTCGAATTGACAGTCCATCTCGCAGTCGAACCGGTAGTCGCACCGTCGAAACCGCTAACTTCCGTCTCTTAAATAGTTGTCTTTATTTCCGAAAACGTGACAGTAAGGAAATCAGGTCGATTCCAGGTTCGTTGAAGTCAATGTCACGCCTGTGTTTATGTTCAACTACTATGGAAAAAAGTTCGTTCACGATTCGAAAATTTTGGAATTAATAAACAAAGACGTGACCGTTCAATGACTTCGAACTTTTTATGAATTTGAATGAAATTAAGGAAAATAACCCTATTCGTGACATGCCACTCCTCTGAAAACGACGGCCCCTGTCGTTAAAAAATGGTCAGATGGGTACTCCTAGCACTACGTACTAACCTATCATCATACAAATCTAATAAAAAAACTCCTATCCTCAACATAAATCATTCTTCATGGGAATTCCTGAAAATTCCTGAAAATTCCTGAAAATTTCTGGCTTGGCTTACTGACCTAGAAAGGACTCTCTGGCATGGCTTCGACGGTCCGGAGTTATTCTGCATATCTGGGTTGGCTAAATACCATATTCTGGTAACGTCTTCCCTGATTTCCTTTAATGACCGAGTTTGGTTTGCCCTGAGGATGCTATTCAGTGGATGTAGAAATGCCATCTCTCCATCACTCGTTGCATGGCTCTGTATTCACCACTGCCGTTCGTTGCTGTTGAAAACTAGGGGTCCATTATTGTTGGCAAGGTATGGTTACGATAGCCCTTCTTGTTGGTTGCAGTGGTACCCTTAACGGTTGCCCTTCGAGATGTCGTCAGTCGATTCATGCCTCCTGATACTGCCTTATAGTCTTTCCAACTATACTAGCTGCTACATCTTTATCCTCAATGTTTCTTGTTGCTACTATACTTGCAACCACAGCCATGTTTATTGATGATCTATTTAGGTACTGACCACCAGACTGACAGCTATTATTAATAGCACAAAGAACTTGTATTGGAGTAACTCCAATGTCTTGTGCAATCTTAGCTATATCATCTGTTGAAAAGATTGACCCTGCTAATGGTGTCAGAAGCACTAGACTATTCGGCAATTTAAGAGCATATGTAGCTAGACGATCAAACACATCCATAGCTAGCAATCTAGCCTGCTTCACTGTTACACACATACTCTTGTTAGGAGGGAAATTAGATCCATATGCAGCATCTCTGTATGTAGCTATGAATAGTGTGCTTACATCCAATGCTCCAGTTGAGGCCTTATACATGAATCTTAGTTTCCAGACCTTGTCTGTCTTCTTATCACCCTTCCTTGACTCAGGACCAACTTCATAAATGACCTTACTACAAAAGTCAGCAGCATATGATCTTGTGTCTGCTTCAAGCTCTTCAAGGTAGTCAGTGCATATAGTTTTGAAATCAGTCTGCAGAGTAGCTAACTCAAACTTGCCTGCTCCATGATGGCTTGCGTAATCACCTGGTAATACTCCACATATTATGAAGTATCTCTCAACAGTATGATTGGCTATGGACATAGGCAACATACCAGCCATACTGTATGCTGTAGTAGCATCTGTATTATTCTGAGACCCTACTAGCTCCACAGCCTTCTGGTATGTTACATCCTGGCTCACCGACATTTCTGCTGTTATTGAAATGACTTAATGATCTATATATAGTGTGCTTCACACTTTCTAGATCAGTATCAAAATATAAAGATATTTCAGTGCAGAAATCTTCTATGTGTCACAAACTGTAGGCGGGGGTTGCCTTAGTTGTGTTCTAGATCCATTAGAAAATTAACTTCAAAAGTGATAATGATAAAAGATACTCTGAAGGTTTTCAAACAAAACATACACGCACATTTATTCTTGGCAATGACTAAATATGAAATCAAAACTTAACCTACCCTTTATATAACAATGAACTAATATTCCTGTGAGGAAGGGCATCTTCTGTTCTGCCCGAACTCCGAAGATTCGGGCACAGTGGCAACTTTTCAAACTTATTATAGAACTCAAACGTTCCTGACTCGTACTCTAAAAAAAAGAAACCAGAACTCGAACTGGCAGTCCAACTCGCAGTCGAACCAGTAGTCGCACCGTCGAACCCGCTTCCTCACGTCTTTTAAATGGTTGTCTATATTTTCGGAAACGTGAATGTAAGGCAATCAGGTCGATAGTCCAGGTTCGTTGAAGTCAATGTCACGCCTGTGTTTATGTTCAACTACTATGGAAAAAAGTCCGTTCACGATTCGAAAATTTTGGAATTAATAAACCAAGACGTGACCGTTCAATGACTTCGAACCTTCTATGAATTTGAAGGAAATGGTCAGATGGGTACTCCTAGCACTACGTACTAACCTATCATCATACAAATCTAATAAAAGAAACTCCTTTCCTTAACATGAATCATTCTTCATAAAAATTCCTGAAGATTCCTGAAAATCCCTAAAAATTTCTGAAAATTCCTATGAAAATAACCTAACTAAAAACTGTCCATATAGTACAATTTGAATTTGTGAGTTCATCCACACACTTCACTGTCTTTAGGCACTTCAAACTGTAGTCTCTGGGTTTCATCTCGGCTCTTCTGGCATCTGGCTCCATTACTGTCGATTAACTGACACTACTAGTCAGCTATTGTTGATTAGCCTGGCTTGGCTAACTAACCTAGGAAGGACTTCCTGGCATGGCTTCGACGGTCCGGAGTTATGCTGCATATCTGGGTTGGCTAAATACCATATTCTGGTAACGTCTTCCCTGATTTCCTCTAATGACCGAGTTGGGTTCGCCCTCAGGATGCTATCCAGCGGCTGTAGAGATGCCATCTCTCCATCACTCGTTGCATGGCTCTCTGTATTCACCGCTGCCGTTCGTTGCTGTTGAAAAGTCCGGTCGATTATTGATGGCAAGGTATGGTTACGATAGCCCTTCTTGTTGGTTGCAGTGGTACCCTTAACGGTTGCCCTTCGGGATGTCGTCAGCCAATTCATGCCTCCTGATACTGCCTTACCCAGTTTACACAAATTGATCTCAGAGATGTCAGTACACTTCACATTCATGACTGATATCACACCCGTGATTCGATTTGTGAATTACACCGACATCTCCAGATCCTCTATCTCGGACCCTTTTGGTCATTTTTCGCTTTATAGTAGAGTGCCAATCGTATCCTATCGTTCACCCCGTGGGAAATCGGAGGTAAAAATCTGTGACATGGCTAGAATTGTTATCTACCATCTCCAGATCATGGATCCACTTGTCGTCAAAAAATCGTCCTGTGCGTTTGGGGGGTAGGGGGTAATTTATAAAAAAATATGGATTTTTTTTTCGTGGAAAATATTGAGGGGTTCCAGAACTTTCACCCTGTTGAATCTTGATTTCGTTTGACAAGTAGAACAAATTATATAAAATTTTGAAATCCACTAGTTACATTTCGATATATGAGAAAATTATATTTCAAACGGCTATAACTCGAAACTTGTGAATTTTCGTTAAATTGCTTTTCATATATACCTCGCATTATCTCAGTAACTACAACGTTTATTAAAAAAATAATTCAAATAATGTCGATGCGCCTATGTTTCAAGATGCGAATGGTTCTTCGATTTTGAAAATCGAAGCATAAATAAGGAAGATATTGGGAAAAGCATAATGCAATGCAGGTACCACGGACGAACGCGTTTCGCCGCATTCGTACCCCTATTCTCCCCGCAATACCCGCGGCTATCATGGTTCCATACGCTTTCGTTATACACATCAACATTGAGGCGTTGACCATTGCATTTAATGGTGACTTATTGTGAATTAATTATTCGATATTTGGTACTGTGTGCTCTGTTTCAATAATTAAATAAGTATTGGTTAGCTGACGACATCTATTATTGCAAATTCTTCATAAAATATATGTTTCTCTAGATAAAAGATGGAAAGTACTAGCAATTCAGACACTGATCTTGAATATGTCTTAATTGTCTTGAAGTTGAAGATTCCATTCGAGCAAAGTACAGAATCATCGAGAAAATGTTTCATCTGTGGAAAAGATGGTCAACTCCTTCGTTGTACAGAATTATCGATAAAAACATTCGAAAGTTGTATGAATATAAGAAAAAAATTCGGAAAAAACTATGCGAGGCAAATCGATGTGGAACTTCAGAGAATTGATGATATTTTCAATGAAAATAAAGGTCAATTGATCTTCTGGCAGAGGAATATTGGAAACTGGAGACAATAGTGTCAGGAATAGAACGCTTTCTATAGTGAAATTGATGTAATCCTGCCAAAAGAAATAACACTTCATAAATTTTGTATTTTAGATGTGTCTAAATGTGTTTTCTACCAAAAACGTTCAAATAAGAGTCAAGTTTTGACATAGTATTGACTACCAACATTGTTTATTGCCATGGAAGTCGAGTATCATAGCCAATGCTTTGTATCAAATTGGAAACATTATAGAGGATCACTGAGTGAGAATAAAGTTGTCAATATCACACATGACAGAGAATTTGATAATCTGATAAAATTAATAGATGGTGCAGATTTTCTAATGGAAAAGGGTATACTTTCAACTGTTTATATCAAAAATATGTCGAACTTGGTGGCAAAACTGGTAGGAAAATCATTATCGAAGAATACTGTCTGTATATAGGTTAATCGAGGAGGTAAAACATTCATTTTACTTGATTTTTTTGGGATTTTCTCTCCTCGTTTCTTTGGACGTTTCGTCCTCAACATGAAAATGCATCTTCCAAAGAAAAATGTTTTGCATTTTCATGTTGAGAACCGGAGTAGATTCGTTCCCGAAACTTCCAAAGAAACGAGGAGAGAAAATCTCAAAAAATCAAGTAAAATGAATTTATCGAAGAAATCAGAAAACACTACGACAAGAAGATAAAAATTATCAAATAAATCAAAACGTTCTAATGAGTCGTATATTGTGATTCCAAATGGAACAAAAACTCATATGATTCATACACATATATAGAACAAAGTGAAATTACAGAAGATAACTACCCTGACTTTGCATGCATCAGATAATATGACCCAGATACACAAATTTTTTGACATATTTAGCAAGATATGAGAGATATTCCAGATTATAAACAACTCAAAAATATGGATGTTAAGGCTTACGAATATGATAACAAAAAAACTTTTTTTAAATTAGTTGCCTTATACCCGATAAAGTTGATTCAGTTATTGATTCAAGTTGAGTATCTGATGTCAAGGTATAATACTCGCTAATTCGAAATTCAAAAAACTCACACCAAAACACGTTGGTTTGAAAATTATGATTCATCAAGAGACATGATCGAAAAAAATTATCGAAGCTTTGTGTTCTTGTGGACACTGTATCGTATGAAAATATTTACAACTTTGCAATTCGATTGGTATCAAATGATGTTTTTTTCAAGTTTCCACAAGGGTATATTATCTTTATTTCAATATTATATGCATCATGTTTTGTTTCAATATTTCTCAATTTGTTAATAAATGAGATGGGTGACATTTTACTCTGATGGATAAAAAATGTACTTTCGAGATAGAATAATTCATAAAATAAATTGAGGTCACTTCCAATCAAACAGCAAGTTAAAAGAAATTTCTGTTAACTTGGAAAATAGCGATCGATTCCATTTTTCCGTGAATTCCATGATCGTAATTCTGTAACACTCAGTAATTCATATTTACGGTGATCGTACTATGACGGCCGCGGGCGTTGCGGGGAGAATCGGGGTATGAAAGCGGCGAACCGCGGTCCTTCGTACTACCTGCATTGGATTATGATTTTCTCAATATCTTCCTTATTTATGCTTCGATTTTCAAAATCGAAGAACCATTCGCATCTTGAAACATAGGCGCATCGACATTATTTGAAGTATTTTTTTGATAAACGTTGTAGTTACTGAGATAATGCGAGGTAAATGAAAAGCAATTTAACGAAAATTTACATGTTTCGAGTTATAGCCGTTTGAAATATGATTTTCTCATATATCGTAATGTAATTGGTGAATTTCAAAATTTTCTATAATTCGTTCTACTTGTCACACGAAATCAAGATTCAACAGGGTGAAAGTTCTAAAACCCCTCAATATTTTCCACGAATAAAAAAAATCCATATTTTTTTATAAATTACCCCCTACCCCCCAAACGCACAGGACGATTTTTTGACGACAAGTGGATCCATGATCTGGAGATGGTAGGTAACAATTCTAGACATGTCACAGCTTTTTACCTCCGATTTCCCACCAACTTTTGATCTAAGCGACTTACGATTCGTTTGGCACTCTACTATTACATTTAAATGCTGAATGGGACTCAAAAGTTAGCTGAATGTGACTCCAGATTTCACGTTGAAATTAGACTCACATTGAGGTTACATTATAATCAGAATACGAGGTTCAGAAGACCATCGACCATTTCTGAATGTGAGGTTCTTTTCGATTATTATACTGGTATTATTGTAGCGTCCCTGGAAGAATCATATTGTGCGTCCCAGAAATGTTACATACACATTTATTGTTGATGTCTCAAGTGAAATCACATCTAGATTGATGAAGGTATTCAACGAGAGGACTAGTCGGTCTCGAATCTCTGTCAATTAGATCAATTAAAAGGTTTCACAAGGCAACTCGATTTTATTTAAAATAATCTCATTACACATCAGAATAGATAAGTACGTACCTACATGTTAAATTGAGCAAAACTACCTAGATATAAACAATGATTGAAATTGGAAAAACAGCGCAGGCCTAGACTTTTTCGAATAATTATACAGGGTATAAATCTCCATGAGCTAACGCGATGTATATGAAGAACTGAAAGTAGCACAATTCTGAAAATTCGTAGAATCGGTGGAGGAATCATGAAGAATCCAACCAAGATATTTTCGTTATTGTGAAGCTCTCGATACGTTTTATCGGAAGTGACGCTATCTTCTGTTATTTTCCATGGAACACCGTGAATGTTTCAACATTTTTGTATTCCTCTCATGATTTTGATTCAAATTTATGTATCAAACCCTTTACCTGAAATGAGGCGTTTTTGAGTTATTAGAGTTTTTCTGGTAAATCGAAAATAAACGCCATTTTCATGTGAATTACAATTTCTAGTGATATGCAGTGATTGAATCGTGAATATTGAAAGTTGAACGGATCACCCACAATAATCATAATAATTTACATGGTGCGCAGAAAAGTGGGTCCAGAAAGTGAATGTGAAACATTGAATTGACAATTTCAATAGGGAGGGCTAGGGCTTATTCTCATTATAGAATTGAATTATGCTGAGGAGAAATGGGGTTTTCATTATAAAAAATGTTCAATGTTTCAGATTCACTTTTTGGATCCACTTTTCTGCGCACCATGTGAATTATACGGTGGTGGTGATCTTGGTCAGTAATCCGTTCAACCTTCAAAATTCTCGAATTAATCACGGTATAACACTGAAACTTTCGATTCACATAAAAACTGACTATGTTCGATAGGCTGCATTTGTCAGTTTTTCAAGAAAAACTCGAATAACTTGAAAACAGTTCATTTCAGGTATATATAGGGTATGATACGATGATTTGAATAAAAATCTTGGGAGGAATTCAAAAATGTTGAACAATACAGAGTGTTCCATTGAAAATAACGAAGATGACGTCACTTCCGGAAAAATCAAAAGCCTAACAATAACGACAATATTTTAGATGCGGATTCTCCATGTTTCTTTCACCGTCCCTACAATTTTTCAGAATCGTGATACTTTTATTTCTCCATGTATAGATCGCGTTAACTCATGGAGATATACCCTGTATGATAGTCAACAAAGTTAACTTGAATGATATCAATCCAACTATGAGAACACATGATGTAGCCAAGATAATCCAATATTTGCTCCTCATCGCTCCTTCCGTTGTGGCATGGTAACCAATCCCTGCTCAGAATTTCAAATTGTTTCAAGGTCGTCCAGATGTCTTGTGATTTGGAATCTGAAAATGAATATGGAAACAATCAATTGATTTCATTTTGCTCATTTCCAACCACAATGAGAGTATTGCAAAATGTTCGAGTCACTTTCATATCCAGGGGCGGCGAGTGCATGGGGGCATCGGGGCCAATGCACCCATGTAGGCAGTGGGTATGGGTGCAATGCACCCATTGGCCGAAACAGACGTATAAAAAACAAATTAGATACGGGCGAAATGAGCACTTGTAAATATTGCACATTGTTGCTGGACAAGTATAGGTAAACAACCATGCGAACCGTATATTCGATTCATGTGCATCCAGGGTTTGACACTGTGCACTGTGCAAAGATATTCCGATTTGAATTTTAGACATTATGACATCACAGGTCACAAGTGCCAGTTTGAAAAAAAAATTGAAGTGGCTAATGAATCCATTGATAATACAGTCAGTAGGAATACCTTTACAATAAATTAACTGGGGTTACTTGCTAATTTTTGCGAATCCCAAAGTTTCTCTATTCCATTTTTTGAATACTGAATAGATATGAGAATTATTAAATCTTATTTTATTTTTGTAGAGATTGAATTTTTTAATATCGTTTCAAATTTTGAGTTATGTTCACTTTTTTCAATGGTTCAATGGAAATTCTTGTATTTCTCATCCTCATCCTCATCCAACCATAAACTCGAAACCCGATTAGTCACAACAGATTGTATTTTGGTAGAGGTGTTTCACACTTGATGCAAAATAAATAATGCTTTGATCTATCTTGAAATTTGAAGGCATTTGACCTTGAACCATGAAAAATTTTCGCCTGCGGCGCATAATTTTGTCTTACCCTGACCCCTCAATTTTGGCACCCATTGGACAAAACAAAACTCGCCGCCCCTGTTCATATCTACATGGAGTCGTGTAAGATTGAAATTATTTATGAAAAGATGAAATCACACTGCATACCTACTGTCTTATGCCTGGTGACAAAGAAGATAGAGAATAGCTGCGGCGAATTCTTTCCTTCTATTCATAATATTTTGCACTAATTTTGTTCTTAATCAGACTTCCCTAATATACAATCAGAATATGCATTTTCACTCATACCCTGATGCCAAAATGATATATCCCAAGGTATCATTGTAAGTATCATCATAAAGTCTTATTGAAATGGCGACATAGTGTCGTCTACCCTGTCTTCATGGTCAACCAGTATAGGTATATTATTATAACAAGTTATGAACATTGTAGTTACTTACCCTGTAACTTAGACGAGGAACACACAGTATCTTTAATCACAATCATGATTTACGATTAGAAAGAAATGCTTCAGTATGAGCAATAACACCAAACACGAACTGCATACTAACACCGAATGAACTGAAACAACGAAATGGATGAGACAAAAGCATGCCGTCGCTAAAGAATTTACAGACACGTGTACATCAGTCAGACCGACACCGACCGAGTGTGTACGAATCTTAACATAAGTCACATTGTGCGCTACACTGAGGAAAAAAAATTGTAGCTGTTACTAAAAAATTAGTAACTAGAAAACATTTTTAGTACGATAGGGGACAGCAAGCATTAGTTGTTGCCATAACTAATTCTGTTTTTCTGGAAACGCCTATTTGCCTCAAATGAAAAGTTTAGTCGAGTCATCTACGACGTTGTTGTGGTAACTAATACGCCTTTCTTAGGAATAATACCAAGTTTTATTTGCCACAATCAAGATACATAGTTATGACAATTAGATTATTAGTATTGTTTCAATATATGTTTGTTATCACAACAAATTAACCCAGTTGGGGCAATTACTCATTTCTTCTGACGTTAATAGTGAGTGTTTTGTTGCAAATTAAATATTTAATTGTGACTGAAATGGAATCTAGTTACTATTAAAAGTGATTTAGTAACGTTTGAAATATAATTTAGTTATTCTGGCAACTTAATAGTTTTATATCAATTAAAATCAAGGCCCCATTCTAATAATAACAGTTTGTATGCCATTTTCCTTCCAATTTCCAATGGAATCGTGAACAGGAATACACCACACACCGTAAGTGCCACAGGCCACAGCTCAGCAAAAAGAGAGGGAATTATAAATATACACCGTGTACACGTGACGTCGGTTGGACGTTTCTCACCGTCGCCCGTTGTAAACTGAACTGAATTGTGAATAGGTACCTAAACCTGATAACTAGTGACGCACAGATAACGATGGAAAACTGCGAATTATCATTTTGCCAACCAAATGCCAAATGGCTCAGCGCAAAGTGCAAAAAAACACAAAACAGTGATTTGAAAACACACAGAGCAGTGAACCAGCAATAAGAACACGACGCTCCCGGCTACACTAGACAATTATTTTATTTATTTTGTCTAAGCTCGACGACCGTGCGATCTACCCACTATCAAGATACAAGTTCAAATGATAAAACAGAAAGACAAACAGATGCAAGATGCAACTTTTGCCGGTGGGTCCCGAAGAGACGCGAGGTGGTCCCAAACGACGCAGTACAACTAAAATTATTAGTTATGGCTAAACAATTTCTGCTATGAATAATAATAAACCTTTTACGATAAATGTGTCATCAGTTGTGGCAAATAGTCAGCTGTTGTTAGTAACCCCAGAATGAGATTTTTTAACCCCAATATGAAATTTTAATTGACTGAATAGACAACACTGTGATAATTCTGTCACAAATAGTATTTTTATTGATGACAAATAATTGGCGAAAAATAGAAAAGTCATTTGTAGGAAATAAGGATACGTTGTCATTGTTAATAAAATTCCAAATATTTTTAATTATCGGTACTTAAAAAATACCAACTAGACGTTTTAATTAACCAGTTTTTCTCAGTGTAGTAACCAACCCCAGAATGAGGTTTTTTAACAGCGATATAAAATTTTAATTGACTGACTAGACAACACTGTGATAATTCTGTCACAAATAGTATTTTCATTGATGACAAATAATTGGCGAAAAATAGAAAAGTCATTTGTCGGAAATAAGGATACGATGTCATTGTTGATAAAATTCCAAATATTTTTAATTATCGGTACTAAAAAAATACCAACTAGACGTTTTAATTAACCAGTTTTTTCCAGTGTACATTCATGAGTATGTGAGTACACTGAGATTTCCAAGTATTGTTGGATATTACTTTCATAAATGAATCCCCTTGAGATGTGAGAGAGATTCACAAATTCAAGCATATTTTCTTTTTTTCATTCTGCACAATGTGAATCAGTTTGTGGTTTCAGATACATCAAATTATGACTCTCAACTACTGAAATTTCAGATTTTCAAATCATAGTCTTTGTGAAGTTAAGGGGCTTCATAAATATTATATCCACATTGGTCTCAGATCCAACAGAATGTGATGAAATTTGCGAACTATCTGTCACACAAGGAATTCCTTATAGATATCAGCGATGCAATATTGCGATTCGCTTTCCTGACATCAACTGCCATGAATGCGACATCTCATAGATGTTTATGTTAACTGGGTATAGTCTTTCCAACTATACTAGCTGCTACATCTTCATCCTTAATGTTTCTTGTTGCTACTATACTCGCAACCACAGCAATGTTTATTGATGATCTGTTTAGGTACTGACCACCAGACTGACAGCTATTATTAATAGCACAAAGAACTTGTATTGGAGTTACTCCAATGTCTTGTGCAATCTTAGCTATATCATCTCTTGAAAAGATTGACCCTGCTAATGGTGTCAGAAGCACTAGACTATTTGGCAAATTTAGAGCATATGTAGCTAGACGATCAAACCCATCCATAGCTAGCAATCTAGCCTGCTCAACTGTTACACACATACTCTTGTTAGGAGTGAAATTAGATCCATATGCAGCATTTCTGTATGTAGCTATGAATAGTGTTCTTACATCCAATGCTCCAGTTGAGGCCTTATACATGAATCTTAGTTACCAGACATTGTCTGTCACCCTTCCTTGACTCAGGACCAACTTCTCAATGACCTCACTACAATAGTCAGCAGCATATGATCTTGTGTCTGCTTCAAGCTCTTCTAGGTAGTCAGTGCATATAGTTTTGAAATCAGTCTGCAGAGTAGCTAACTCAAACTTTCCTGCTCCATGATGGCTTGCGTAATCACCTCGTAATCACATATTATGAAATCTCTCAACAGTATGATTGGCTATGGACAAAGGCAACATACCAGCTATACTGTATGCTGTAGTAGCATCTGTATTATTCTGAGACCCTACTAGCCTGCCTTCTGGTATGTTGCATCCTGGCTCACCGACATTTCTGCTGTTATTGAAATGACCTAATGATCTATATATATTGTGCTTCACACTATCTAGATCAGTATCAAAATATAAAGATATTTCAGTGCAGAAATCTTCTATGTGTCACAAACTATCCAGTTGTGTTCTAGATCCATTAGAGAATGAACTTCAAATGTGATAATGATGAATGATACTCAGAAGGTTTTCAAACAAAACATACACACACATTTATTTTTTGCAATGACTAACAATGAAATCAAAACTTAACTCACCCTATATATACAATTGAACTAATATTCCTGTGAGGAAGGGCATCTTCTGTTCTGCCCGAACTTCGAAGATTCGGGCACAGTGGCAACTTTTCAAACTTATAATGGAACTTAAACGTTCCTGACTCGTACTCAAAAAACAGGACTAGAAGTCGAACTGGCAGTCCAACTCGCATTCACAAGACAGAAAGATATTAATGGTCCTTTAATCCCGTTTACTTCCATACAACAGGTAAATCATAATTATTCCTGATCAATAATAAAAATAGTCAGACCTTATTTCAAGAATATCATCATGATGTACATAATTTTAGCGTGTCGCTGATGCCCTCAATATTGGTCTGCGGACAGTTTCGAGTAAACAAGTACGTTCTGAGATAAACGAAAGTTTGAGTACGCCAGTGATCTATACTATGTATGCAGAAAGTAGGTAAGTGATTTCATTAGATACTTCTGGACTACCTTCAACTGACTATCTTACAGAAAAACATCAACCTTAGAATAGTGAAAGAAGAACCCAGAACTGAACATATTCTTGACGCAAGTATAGGCACATTGAGCCAACTTCTCACAAATGTAGGATTCAAATATAGAAAAAAAGACAACAGACGGTTATTGGTTGAGAAGATGGACATATCTATAATGAGAGCAGAGTTTTTCAGAAAGTTTTATGAAAATCACAATTCTAGTTACCCTAGACAAATCTTCATCTTAGATGAAACTTGGATATTTGCGAAGGGGAATAAGATGAGATCATGGCAAGATCAAAGTACAAAAAGTGTGTACATAGGGTCATATACCAACCCATACGTATATACATACCGAAGTTCTGATGTTTTTGCCGTCAAAACTATTACATATCATCTGTAAGAGAAAAAAAAGTTATTTATAACTAAGTCATAGTGAGCTTTGACCTACATTTGAAAAACTAAAGTTGGTGCTGATATCTCAAATTCTAGAAGACTTGGTACAAATTTCATGTTTTTTTCGAAATCACCCTGAAAAACTGCCATGAGAATGTGAAATTCCTATTTGAATATTTTCATAAATAAAGAAATTACGGAGGAGACATGAAAATGATCAAAATCTGTTTTTTGCGTATAAAACAAAAACGAATAGATTTTATCAAAATATTTTTCCACATTATAGTTGGCCTTGACAAACTCCACATTTGGTGTCATTTAACCGACCTCGTATCTCTCACCGTTAGAAAGATACCCATGGTGAGCATGGTACGTGGGACACACTGTGTACGCCTCTCTTCGCATGGTTGTTGTAGGAAATTTCACATGCATTTCTATGTGGAATCCGAGATATATAATATGGGCCCGCATATAACAGACATAGTTTATGAGATACTCCATTTGAATCATTGAAAGGTTTGTTGGTTTTTAATAGTACCAAATCTCCAAGATGATACTCACAAGTTTTATGTCGTTGTTGCTTACTCCTTTTTAGTGCCGAATTAGTCGAATTAGTGGTTCATAATTCATGAGCCTAGATCATTACAACAATTTTTGTTCATCTATCTCAAACATCAAAGGTGTTATCTCACTTTCCCATTTCAATGACTCACCCTGTAAATATCTTTAGGATATCCTAAAGACGTCCATAGGATGTGACAGTGTGACCTTTTTGGATGTCTTAAAGATATTCATTATGGATATCCTTGAGATATCAACTATGAATATGGATATAAGAGATAGTATAACCTATATATATATATCTAGGATATCCGTCAAAAGACGGTAGATATATGATTTCATTCAGTACATGATTTATAGGTGGAAATGAAGTGTTGAGGCATCGAAAATATATATAATAAAAGATTCAAAAAACAATTCTCATCAAAAAAGTCATAATACTGAACAATATTATTCACAGGAGATTTAAAAAACAAAATCAAAAACAAAACACACCAACTTATTTAACTGAATAAAAATAACAAAATTAAAAAACAATTCTAAATGAATTTGAATCACATGAGATGATAATATGAGTTAGTAGTCTGTGTTTCCCATAGTTTTGCCAGCCCTTTCTTCGGCACGTCTCAACCAATTCTTGACTGCATTTTCTATTTATTTTCTATTAGCTGACAAACCACTCTTGTCTGCAGCAACTGAAATAAAATGATGATTCTAGGCTGGGCTGAGCTAGGGGTAATCCATCAACATTTATACTTTAATCTACAAAATTCTTCTTTGGTAGAAGTCCATATTGCTCAAAGTGGAGTGAAATATTTCACAGGAAGGAAGGAATGCTCGAAGTCATCTCCACAAATTTTAATGATATTATTAACTAATTGATGAGGGACATGTTTCGGTCTTATAAAAGACCATCTTCAGCCTAATTGAAAAGTCTACAATACAAAAACAAATGATATTGAAATGAAAAGATTACCTTTTTTATGCTAGACTTACTTGGAGTTGAAAAAATTATTTTTCTATGGGCATTGGCAGAAAATAATTTTTTCAACTCGAAGTAAGTCTAGCATAAAATAGGTAATCTTTTCATTTCAATATCATTTGTTTTTGTATTGTAGACTTTTCAATTAGGCTGAAGATGGTCTTTTATAAGATCGAAACATGTCCCTCATGAATTAGTTAATAATATCATTAAAATTTGTGGAGATGACTTCGAGCATTCCTTCCTTCCTGTACAAAATTCTGCTCTACTTGACCTGATTGAACACTTATCAACCTCTCAACAGCTTTTTGGAAGCCGAAATGAAAATACTGTCCTGGTTGTACACATTTGAATTCCAAAGTTCTTTCAGTTTTCAACATAGTTCGTGGATCTGAAGGCAATTCAGGTTGCATGGGTTTCAAAATATCTAGGAGTGATTTCAAAACTGATTGAGAGATATTGTTTTTGAGTGACCATTCTGCTAATTGCAACCACAAAGAATTATCAGGAGTAGACATTTCTGTGGAGTGAAGGCAATAGGACAAGACAAAATTCTTACAGTCGACTCCACCAAAGCTATACTTTATTGTAAGCAATCTTACAGGGACATGTTTCGAAGCTTTAGAGCTTCATTATCAGCGTTATTGTTACATATGAGTACTAAAGTGAGAGAAAAACAAAGAACAATGTCAGACAAACCTCTCAACAACGATAGGTCTAAAAAACTCACATGTTCTGGAGGAAAAAATTTATGTTTCCATATTTATATTATTGAAAAATGCTTAAGAAAAAATATAAAAAAGTTGAATGGGGACCGCAATTTTGCGGAACTCCTTTGTTAAGGAACTTTAAATATCATGTTAGGTAGTATTCAGAGAAAAATCTACAAAGGTATCATCTGTTCAAGAAGACAAGAGAAATGAAATGTCAAAAATCAAACATCAAACGAATTGAATGATTTTAACATGAAGCGGCATAGGTGACGTGTGGAACATCAAATAGACTAGAGATGGGGAGAGTATAATGATATCGAGATGGGGAGAGTATAATGATATCGAGATGGGAGCAATAACAAAATTATGGTTCATGAAACTTTTGGTCAATTTTAGGTATCGAATCAGTCCTATCAGATGGAATTGAATAATTTATATATAAGTAAAAAACTGAACTTACTTGGAGATTTTGAAATTCATAAGGCCTTCAAGAATCCCGAGAAAATGACTTGTATCAATGAACAGACTCATTTTGACTGTTCTAAGCTTTTCAATTGTCTTACATTCATCAACACTTAAGAATATAAATTATTCAATTCCATCTGATGCGCCTTGAATTTTGTCACCACCTTTTGCATTTTAGTAAAGATTTACCAAAAATAAATACCAAGCTCTGCAAAATGGTGTTGCCAAGGAATGGCAGCCAATGTGTCTGGAGAGCTGAGTCGTGAGTTAATGGTCAGATGTTATTAATCAGTTTCATTGATACTTTGAAAGGGGCGCCACTTGAATTTGTTGAAACGAAAAATAAGAAAACCAAGTTTGGTCAAAATAAGTCTATTAAACTTCAAAAATCATTGTTCACAAGGCATTAAAGTTTGAACTGGAAAAAAAACCAGTAAAAGTACTCAGCAGTAAACTTTGCAGGTATGATGTGACCTAGTAATGAAATTTATTTAGCCTAGTGGAGGTACCTACCTCATGCAGCTGCAAGGGTTTACATTTCAGGCCCACTTATTATCACTTCTAAAAATCAAGACAATGACTCTAGCTTTTACCTTATATATGATACTTAGATCTGATTGCTTTTAGCTACAGAACCCTGTTTTATATTTAACCAAAACTATATAAAGAGAAAATCATAGGAATTTCCTAGTGATGAGCACATAAGTTTAGTGAACTATTATGAATTCATAGGTGAACTAAAAAACAATTCTATAAATCGAAAAAACTGGAACAAGCTCACCAGCTTACTGGAACCCATGTGGTGCATACA